TAACGGGTCTCGCGTAGGCGGGAGGGAATATTGGCCGTCTGCAAAAGCGAATTCGTTCCGGAGGTTGTATACTTTCGCCTCTGTATTAATTCCGGGGGCTGGGGGTCGGTGTTGAATCGACATCATTGATAGGCGGCACGACGGGTCTATCAGCTATCCGTGTCTGCTGAGAAGAATTATAGGACGAAAAAGCCTCGGTGGGTGTCCCCTCCTGTCCCCGTTGCCAGCTTGGCGAGTTAACCTCGTATCCGGACGTGGAGCCGAAGCGGAAGGAAGGGGACGTGACGTCGCGATTAAAGCGAATTAAACGGAGCGAATTGTACGAATCGGCGGCGGCTTGGTGGTGGTGGTTCGCTCGGCCTGCTGGCCCCCACAGCCCTGGCTAGCTCGGCTCTTCGCGACTATCGCGTCTGCCTACCGTTTACCGGGACGCACACGAGATTGGCCTCCGGTTGACTCACAACTTGCCCGCTATCACCGATCGAAATCATGTGGCGTTACCGTCACGGACCCAAGTTCCTGATCAGTTTAGTATACAGAGTGTAATAAAAATGTTGGAGGACCCGGAAATGGGAGACTTGTGAGATGATTTGAAACAAGTTTTTCCTTAGCAAAAATGTTATCCCAGGCTTTGTTAACAAGATATTCACGATATAACCTCGACGAATCAGAGCGCGAGTCTGCCGGCCGAGTTCCTGCGGTAACGTTGGCTACGCGCTGCGATTGGTAACAAAGCCTCGAATAACATTTTTAAATGTTACTCCAAAAGGTGTCTGATTTCGCGTGGAATGACCCCATATCGCGAGTATCGTCTGGGACCGAGAGTTCAGGGGATGTGCTGCAGGGTAGGTTGTTTAGTCTCCTCATCAGCGTGTCGTCGTTGAAAGCATCATCGAGCTCGGTCGAGCGATGACGATGCTCTCGATATGAATGTCGATAATGTGGTTAACGGTTAGGCATCGTCGAGGGAGTCACACGGATACTCACACGCGGTGGTGGTGGTGCTGCCTTTGAAACGAACGGAGAAGCATGCTTGAAACGCGCGCGGGGCTCCTCCAGCCGCTCCATCGACATTTTCCATCGGTGTGTATTTTCGTTGTGTATATACATACATATATATATTGCGTAATTGCATCTGGCCGCCTGGTGGTTAGAAATCTTCCACGGAAGGCAAAATGTATCCAGAGTCAGCGGTGATATTTATTAGATTCGCTCAAAATACAGTGGGTGAAAAAGAGTATTATAAAAATAAGACTTTTCTGAAGTTGGACCAAGTGGCTTGACTTTCTTAGTGATATTAGAAAGGTTAATTTACTAAATGTTGTGCACCTCTGCCCTATTCCAAGATATCTGTTTTCTTTCTTAAGATCGAATCTCCGCCTTCTATAACCGCTATTTTCCTGTTTTATCCGGTGAATTTACATTTTATAAATCATTGCCGGCTATATGTTATCGTGTCATTCGGAAATTAACGATCACCGATGGAAAGACACGGATGTATGAATACATGTAGAATAAATGTATTCCTCCCGCGTCCGAAAGGGTGACAAAGTGAGTGAAAATAACAAAAACGACGGGTTCGAGTATCCCGATTTTGCGAGCGGAACTGCCGCAAGAGTGACGAGGCGATATGAGTGATGGCGGTACATTTGAATTGCATCGATATTTGGTATAAATGTGTATCGATAAAAATATCGATATTATCGGTATCGATACTTGAAATTAAATTAGAAGTAATAAAATTCATGAAACATGAAAATAAATCATTTATTTTCAGGCAACAGAATGGAAAAGAAATCGACCAATCGCAAAGTTTATGGGAATCTCTCGATTGGTCCATCTTCTTTACGACCTGTTATAGCAAATTGCAACGATTGTATCGAAATTTCGATGTTTATGAGGGTTAAGTATCGATACTGGAATAATATCGTCACATTAAATATCGATACAACATATCAATATTTCAGTTGAAAAGTATCGATTATTCGAAATATCGATACTGTATCGCCTATTACTAGTGACGAGGCGCGCAGCGATCCACATGGAATAGACCGAGGAACGGCGGGGCCGTCGTCGGTACGTGTTGGAAAAGCGACGGATCTATGAATGGAGGCGAGCCTCGGATCAGTCGGCAAGCAAGGACGACTAATTATAGCGTTAGTATCTCTCAGCTTCGTTTTGTACATTAACCACGCGCACCGTCTATCCATAGATATATATACATATATATATACGTGTATGTGTACATATATGTTTATATATATATAGTATTTATATACATAATCGTGCGCGTGCGTACGGTACAGAATATGTATCCCATTTGAAACGTTCAATTTCGAGACACACGGGGGTACTCCTGCAATAGAGGACGTGACCCAGTTCAACGGTGACGTAAAGCGCGGGCTGCTCAGGATTGAAATTCAGGAAGGACACGCGCGACTCAACGAATCGCTGGTCTTCGCTCCTCCCCCATCACCCCCGCTCCGCCCCCTCTCTACCACTTGCATCACGTTACTCGGTTATCGGCGGCGCGCATGGTCGCCTACTTTCTTCGAAATACGAATTTCAAACGGAAACGTACAAGGAAGAAAGAGAGACACTGTATATTTTCGCGACTCTGGGGTCGTCGTGGTCGTGTCGAGTGGTTTGCCTTTCATCCTTGACCCGCTCGCACGGGGACACGATGATGCCCTGTAATAATATCATCGGCCCGCCGTAGCCTGAATATTACTGCCTGGGACGCGGATCGACCCATTTTTCCCACTAGAGCAAAACCGTGTGTTGGATTCCCCGTTTGTTCAAAGGATTGGGCTGTTCTAGGTGTGCTCTGTTCTTCTGGGAGGTTATACAGGGAGAAACAGAGAAAGGGGTTCGTAATCTCTGGGAGAGATAGTACTCGCCAAATGATGAAGAAACAGTACTAATAGACACGAGTCGAAAAATTAATATTCTTGAAGCTGTAAATAATTTTTTCGACCCATGTTTATTAGAACTTTTTTCGTCATTTGGCGAGTCTACCTACCCCAGAAGTTATGAACCCTTCTTTTTGTTTCACCCTGTATAATATGCTACTAGGTCACACTGTCGCTCCCGGGTATACAGATTTTTCCAGTGGAATGGAAGTTCCGGAAACTGTTTTTGTCTGAAACTGCTCGCAAAAAGAGAGGGAGAGTGCGAATTAGAACAAAGGTGATTAAAATGGGTCACAATTAAAATTCGTCGACAGTGAGAATACGAATTAAACGTATTTTAGACGATTGTCTATATTGCCGCTAGTCCGTGGGATGTTTATGCAACTGTGGATTTTTTGTTATTACTTCAATCAGAATTCCAAACGGGACAGATAACGTGTTAAGCTTTATTAAACCTTCTGTACATGCGCCAGACTTTCAGTACTGTGGACATAGTTTTAATAACAGGCGGGAGCAGTATTATTAACATACAGACAGACTACAGGCAGTGTTTCCTAACCTCAACGCCTCAAACATCTCGATGCCTCCTCCTAGCATAATAGCAAACCAAGTTCTGAAACAGTTTGACACTTATAACTACGTCAAATGAAAAAAGCACATAAGTAAAACTGTTGCTGACGAATGTCAGTGATTCGATAACTGCCCACCCGAAGTATTCAAATTACCCCACGTTGGGAAACACTGGTCTAAGACACAATCCTTTGGCAAAAGCAAGTTTCTACAAAGAAGAATGCTATTGGCTCTGCCCCGTCGCAACCCGCGCTGTGTGTCGTTTGTGAAGAAATTCTATTGTGAACATCTGGGGTCTCGTTTAAATTGCTCGAGATAGAGGACAGCAGCTCTTCTTCCGGCGGCCGAGCAGCCAACAGGTGACACAACCTGTGTGTGTAAGCGGCGAGAAACGGGTATACATATGTATATGTATATGTATCGCGGAAACTGGAGGAATTTGGCTGTCGAGAAAGAGTGATTCACCCAGCCTACTTCCCGGATATTGCGTCCGACGGACCCTATCGTCTTTCAGGCGCAGGGGAACAGGGACGTGTTTCACGTGCGACTCGAAAGAGTATTTTCAAAGCGAGTTTATAAATTTCTTCGACGGTACTCGTGTTCCCCCATTGTCTCATGTTTTATGGTGGTGTCGAGAGTGCCTGACGCGCGCGTATACATATATACAGGGTGAAACAAAAAAAAAGTTCATAATTTCTGGGGTAGATTGTACTCGTTAAAAGATGAAAAGAAAGTCCAAATAAACACGAATCGAAAAATAGATTTTCAAACTTATAAACAATTGTTTGTTTCGGTTAAAACGGATGACTTTCTCGCTTTGGGAGCTATCGTACCGTACGGAAACAATGAAGAGCATTGTTAAAAAAAGAGGAATAAAAACCGTGGAAAACCTTTTGTAATCAGGAAAAGAAGAAATGATAAGGTAATCCATTGTTTCCATAAGGTACAATAGCTCCCGAAGCGAGAAAGTTACTCGCTTTAACGGAAACAAACAATTGTTTTAAAGTTTGAAAATCGTAATGTTTCAACCCTTTTTATCAGAGCTTTTTTGTTTAATTATTTGGGGATTTATTATCTACTCCCAGAAGTTATGAACCCTTCGTGTCTTTCACTCTGTATACTTTGGCGCTACGTTATATGCACAGCGTTTACGTTCCGTTCCGTGGACAAAGTCTATTTTTAGCGTCGTTTTATGCGACTCAATTTAATTGTCTCGTGCGGCCATCCCTTCAACGCCCTCGAGACCCGAACCTCTTGTCATTAAATACTAAGCATTGGCCCTAGAGAAATATATAAACGGCCGAATTTTTTCGTTCAGAAAGGCGGCGAGGCTCGATAGAGTGGTCTCACTAGGGTGATTCACCGACAAAAAAGAAACACCTATATAAATGTCCTTTCGAAAGACACGAAAATGGTTTTTAGGACGCGAACTGGAAAGGACGGGGTATATACAATTATTACAAATTTATGCGATATATAGGAATTGGTTTCACGCAGAAGAATTCAATGAACTTGGGTGCAATGCCCTTTTTATTGTTTCACTTATACACAGAGTACTGAAGTACTTAGATATTTGTCGATATTCACGGAAAGAACGGTTTTATCGGCAAATAAAAAAAGACTAGCCTACGGTGTTCATAATATATAAGAGTAGTATATTTTCAGTGACATGAAAGCAGAGGATTAAAGCTTTGGTAGAGTGAATACCGCATATCTAAGATCTGCGATGCACGATGTACAATAATTGTGTCGACGATTTTGTTCGTTTCTGTAGTTTGTTCAGTGATATTTTTCTTGAATATATATATATATCTGTATAGTAGAGTACGTATCGTTGCAAATGTAGAAAAAATATTCTGGAAACCGTACGCGGAATTAGAAATATTTTTCGAGATGGCTTTTCAGTTTGCTAGGATCTACGTTAGGGCCGTGTCGCTCCACCACTTTGCCCTCCTTGTCCACGATGAACTTGGTGAAGTTCCATTTGATAAAGTTCCCCAGAGTTCCTCCCTTCTCTTTCTTCAAATATTGCCACAGAGGATGCGTGTCGTCGCCGTTGACGTTGATCTTTTCGAACAGGTCGAACTTTACCTACAAAAAAAGAATTTAATTTTTTAGTCAACCAGGGTTTTATGTATTGTTTCACTGCACGAATAATTCTTGCCATTAGTGGTTTTGTAGTTCATGAATTGTGCGGCAAGAATTATTGGATTATATGTCGCGTGCATATAAATGCAGGCCATTGTAATAAGTATTCAAATACCTTGTGTCGGTCGGCAAAACTGCATATCTCTTCGCTACCTCCTGGCTCTTGTCCATTAAACTGGTTGCAAGGGAAGGCCAAAATTCGTAAGCCTGTAAATATATTAGTTTAGTGTTTCCTAAAAAAAAAAATAAGTTATTTATTTTATTGTACCTTTGGATTCAGCGTATTCGTCGTATAGTTCGTTCAGTTCCTTGTAATTAGTCGCCGTAAGACCGCATTTCGATGCCACGTTTACAATCAAACACACGTGTCCTTTGTATCTGTAAATGTATCGGCATTATTATTAAATGTTGTATCACGCAATTGTCTTCGTTCGAAAGATCAGTTTAATTGCTCACTTAGTTAGAGGAACGTCTTCGCCTTTGATGGATTTGGCGGTGAAATCGTAGATTGATTTCGCATCTTTGTAACTGTCGTTTCCGCTCATTGCCGTTGCCGCAACTGCAATCAATCCATATATAAATATCGTGTCCTCAATTATACATTAATGCCTGAATTAACATTAACAAATTACTACTGCTGACAAATTGGCTGCTTGTTGCAAGTATGAAGTTTTACAAGCACAACGCAAAAAGCGAAAGTGGTGTTAGTAAACAATAAGGAGATACGATAATAACCTATAAATTACTAGTCACAGGAGAAATATTTACTATCACACGTCTGTCAAATTTATCGAAAATTTGGTAAGTTAAAATGATATTATCACGATCAATACAAAATTTCTACGAAGTAGGTTAGAAAAACTTTACTTCCACGACTGGACACTGTATAAATCGAGCGTTAAGATGTATGTATGTGAGCGTTACAGATCACGCATAATACATATAACCCTAACCTTACTCGTACAATGATTACTTGCAACTTCTTCATGCATGGCGTATTGCACACAGATAGTTATGGCATTGGCGTGCGAAACTACGATTTCCATTATCTGTCATAACTGGGGGTATTTTGAAATTTATATGTATACAGGTGGATTCACACATATCGGTCAATTTTCATTCCTTTACAATTGTACCAGTCTGTGTATATATACCTATATCAACGAATAGAAAAGTAAATGATTGATAGGTTAACAATACTCTTTTCAAAAACTTGTATTTCGAAAGCATGCTACAAAAATAACGCGTTGCATTTGCGTGCATCAAAGAGAATTCAAATATTCCAACGGAATCGTACTCGAAACAAATTGAGAACCTCTGAGTCATAGTGTCATCCTGTTGTTTCGACGATGCAATTTATAAACATTGGCCAGGAAACCACTTGCTTCGCCTCGCAAGACGAATCTCTCGGTATATGTAATAATTGCACAATGTAAATGTTATTCGACAGTGAATTTATGAAATGACATTCGGTGCTTCAGGCTGAATATCAGAATTCAAACTTTAGAAGCGCATATGTATCATCCGCCGCAGTAAATTTCATCCTTGAAACAAAAAGATCGCACTACCGTTACTTTGTTCTCACAGCAACGAGGGGAGGGGAGGCGGAGCAGGTGAGAAACTTATCGGATTACATGCCTGAAAAATTTCGGATAACTTGAGTAAATCCCACTGGCAGCACGAATTTTATAAAATGCATTCTTCGATGTACAGTACGCAGTATGTTCACGACCTTGTTCCTGAAACTGTCAGTGCAAACACTGTGGTACAAATAGCCTTTTTACGACGTGTGATACAACGTATAAGATAAACAGTATCGCCAGCGTAGTTCCGTCGAAAACATTGGGAATTTACCGAGGTATAGGATAAAGAGATTATCGTATAAATTTCAGCAAAACCGAGAAGGAATTGACTGGATGAGACTGATAACCATAGTAAGATAAGATTACACAAACTACAAGATGTTTTTTGTCTTTGGTTACATTCTAATACGATAGGACGATAAGTGAAGAAAAAAAATGATTTATTGATCGAAGGTGTTGCTCTTCGAAATATCTGTGTAACTTTCAAAATTTTGCGTAACAACGCAGTTGATTGCCATCTGCCGTTCGTCTACGAAACTTCATAAAATCCTCCGTGCTATCAAGTTGCACGAGTCGCCCGAGATTTTATGTAGAATCATGCTGAATTTCAACCCTGTGTGTATTCTGCGTGTACGATGCAAGCATTGATACATGAACATAATGCTAGATGATAATATCACGAATAAAAATCAAACGAATCTTACCACAAATATGTTGTAAAACGTCGAAAGGAGAAAACTGAACCGTTCTGTCGGAGGTCTGTTTTTGCACTGATGTGCCGGCCGCCAATCTCCACTATGTAGTAGCGTGTAGCTTACACACACATTGACTATACACCTGCGCACGATGATGGTGGAAATATCCCATGACAGAATAACATGACTGTCATATTTTATCTTTTTGAACTTTGTATATTAGTCAACCAAACATGATAGTTTCTCTTAAGGATTGTAAGATTTATTAAGAGATTTAGTATTCTGTACTTTATAGGTTATCATATTGTTATTTGAGTAAATATTTAATGAATACACCAATTGCGCTTTTTGTGTATCTTTTGTATTGATTTTCATTGAGAAAATTAATTTTTCACGTATAAAGCACATATTGTATAAAATGAAAGACAGGTCAGTGATAAACGACCTTTTCATTTGTTTTTAGTACACTGGTTCCATGGAAAGTATTCAGGGATAAGTTGAACGAAGTTCATCCAATTAGTTCTGTGCTACAAGCCATGGCATTGAAATCCACGATAGACCTTACGTGCAATGATTATATTTCCAATTTTGAGTTCGATGTATTTACAAGGTAAGTACCTAAATATAAACAGGTAATTGCACTTTGTAAACTCATCGAAGAGACATTAATTTCATTCCTGTTCTTGCAGGTTATTTCAACCATGGTCTACACTTTTACGTAATTGGCAAATTTTGGCTGTCACTCATCCTGGATACGTAGCTTTCCTCACATACGATGAAGTAAAAGCACGCTTACAAAAGTATTGTAGACCTGGAAGTTATGTGTTCCGGTTAAGTTGTACAAGGTTAGGACAATGGGCTATTGGATATGTTACATCTGATGGAGACATCCTTCAGACTATACCTCACAATAAAAGTTTATGTCAAGCCTTGCTTGATGGATATCGGGAAGGCTTGTGAGTATATTATTTGTTGTTTGTTAATACTAAGAGAATTCGAAAGGATTTATGACATTCAAACGTTTGTTTTCAGTTACTTATATCCTGATGGTCATAATGTAAATCCAGACTTAACATGGGCAGTACAACCTACACCGGAGGAACATATAAGAGTTACTGCAGAACAATATGAGCTATACTGTGAAATGGGCAGCACATTCCAGTTGTGTAAAATTTGTGCAGAAAATGACAAGGATGTCAGGATAGAACCCTGTGGACATCTACTTTGTACTCCCTGTTTAACGGCTTGGCAGGTATTACAATTAACTTAATTCTTTGTATACCGTTGTATTATTACATTAGGGCTGGACTGGCTAAAAAGTAGAAGAGAAGGATTTGAGCTAGAAATAGGCGAAGAGAAAGAAAATAGAAATAAGAAACGGAAGTTAGATTATAAGCGTAGCACATGAACATTTCAATTACCGATAAAAGAAGATGCATAAAAATATCATGCGTGTTTGCAGGACTCTGAAGGACAAGGTTGTCCGTTTTGTCGGGCTGAAATTAAAGGAACTGAACAGATAGTCATTGATCCGTTTGATCCTCGAAGAACACATCGACCAGGAACACATTCAGCGTCCGCTAGTAACGCGTCAACCCCCACACGGGATCTTGACCCGGACACCGAGGTATCCGACTAGGAGTAGCATCTACCCTCATTAAATGTGTTCTATGTATAACAACTTATCCCAGCAACATGCATCATCTTTTTAAAGAATGCTTCATGTATTTCACGCGAGATCTCGAGTTTTATACGATCGTCATGACACATCACATATAGGATAATCATCGAACCCGTTACCTCTTACGAGGTACGTAAGCTTAAACATATTAAAAAAAAAAAATAATGACGAAGGTTACTTGGAGTAAATGTTCGAAGAACGAACAATGTAAAAAGGGACCAACTTTTTCGTCTCTATTGTAAGCTTTGTCCGAATCATATTTTCTTTTCTTTTCCATTATCTTTTTTGTTCATTTTTTTTCATTCGTTTCTTATAACTCGTATTTTATATATAAGAAACGAATTAAAAAAACTATATATATATATATGTACATAAGAATTCGCAGAATGGCTTGACATTATTTGGGTTTTCGAGAAAACGTGTTTCCGTTACGATTAATACGAATGTTTTTTGCAGTTCATACCGTGCTCGTTCGAACTAACACGTTTTTAAAAGTACTTATTTGCAAAACGAATCGGATTATCGAAAGAAAAACAAAAATAACTCGGCAATTATGGAGACCCTAAGGTAGGTTGCTTTTTTGCATTACACCGTTTAGGGCTTTATTGTATGACTCATTCGTTCTTGTTGCATCCACCACGAGGCGCATTCATATTTCATGCTCCAACAAGGCGTAATCACACTACCAGTACGTCGTTCAACGTACATGCGACCGAGTTGTACTCGTCGTTTAACGATTTATTGAAAGTGGACAGTACGATTTTTGAAAGGACGTAGAATGTTTTTCGAAACAACATTGTAGTCAAGTACCGTGCGTAATTCACGATAACAAATTACGTACGGGGGTTATCCGCTTTTTTTTTTGTACGATAGAGTTAAAAACGCCCTTTTAGCACGCGATCGAGTATTGAAACGAACCGACATTTTACATTGCATGTGCCAATTGTGTATAGCTGGCAGCGTCTTCTTTTGCAGTGTATGCATATACGACTGTTTGAAGTTCGAGTGAAGCTTCGTTTACATATGCAATTTATTGCACACCACTTGCCGGATATAGGGAAACTTGTAATTTTAGATTCAACACTTTCACAGTTCACCACAAATTAAACCTAGAAATATTTAATGTAGCTCAACTATCTATGTCCTTGGCTGAAGTTTTACTATTGCATATAGAACTTTTTGAATCTTTATATACATATATAATATATAGTAAAATTTTTTTCTTTATATGTATCTGTGTTATATTTTGGTTAAATCGGAAATGTAAAAAAAATTCACTTCTGAAAAACGGTACGACATCGTAAATGTAGAGATTCTATTGTTAAAGCGTGTCTCGTGGTATTTTTTATGTACGGCACGATCGAGATTTTAGTTTGTTATCACGAATATTTCGTCGTTTGATTGGACTGTGAAAGGGTTAATGCTTCTGTTTACGCGAAGTCCAAGTAAAAGAAGTACTCTTGTTCGTGTCTCTGTGTACTTTTTCTTGTTTGTTTTACAGACATCTGAACTTCCTCCGGTTAATTGGTATTTTATCAGTATTTTGTGTATACAATAACACGGTGAAAGCATATGAAAAGAAAAGAAAAAAAAAACAAAAAGAGTAGAAAAGTTTAGTTCGATAGTACCTACTCTCTGATTAAGGAGATACAATAAAAGCGTAGTTCCGACGGTATTAGACGGTGTGTAGCTTTACATCGAGCCACAAGTATGTGCTATGTAGCCTATAGAGGAATGACCGTTCGCTGTTTTTTTTTCTAACTCTTCCTTTTTTTTTATTCCTCTTTTTTATTCTGTTAGAATTAATTACGTACCTGTTGACGATAGGAACAATGTAACAACATATGCGGCATCTTTATCAGGGCAAAGATGTGTATTATTTTTCTTTATCTTAGATATTTATTATTTATTCCGTTGACGCATAAAGAGCAAGTATTAACAAAGTTTCGTGCTTTTTGTCAAGCACTTTTCAACTGGGAACATATCAATACTGCGCGAGTATCTTTATGTACAGTAGAACCTCCATTAATCGAATTACACACGAGGAGAGAACTCGCGCATTCTTCGTTTTTGACTTTCATTCCCGAATTCTCAGCGTTCTAACCCCTCGATTGCTTTTGGAATTTCAACGGTTCTTTTTATTTGTCGAATCATTTGACGCCCCTTTTTCATTTCTAGATTTCGAGGTTGTGTTTTAATGAAAAATATTTCTTGTTAACCGGAAACCACCTGGATCAGCTTCCTTGAACATGATTTTTTTTTTCGTAATTGGCCAGTATACATTTATTAGGGGTGAGTTGGAACGTAGTTTCGAATTCTCGAAACATTTTTGGGCTTCGAGGGGTTTCGGGGCTTCGACATAAATTTAATATCTACCGTCTATTATATTGTATTATATAATTATCCGTATTATTTAATAATTCTATTTTAATATTCACCGTCAAGTTATTTAGTTTCATACCGATCGGTACACGAATGTTTCGATAAAGTAAACACGTGTTTAGCCGCGTCGCAAAGTTCTAATAGGCAGGGCAGCAGTCGGTAGACACCAGAGGTTTTATAAAATGGCGGTTCTACTGTACGCGTATCCTCTCTTAATATACAGGACACACATCCACAGATCCTGTATGCATGAACCGCATACACGGAGCTGGAATTGACAAATCGTACTCTTTACTTTTTTTTTACAATATATCCCCTAAGATTGGCAGTCTGACGAGCTAAACACGCGTGGATTATACAGGGTGTTAATTTTAACTCTAGCACCTAAATTATTTCCGCTACTATTGAAAGTAAGAAAAAATTACTAAATAGGAGGTACATGGCTTTAAGGCGTGCATCTGATGGTGATAAAAAAAATTCTGTGAAGGTCATTTCAACGGTTTTTTCAAGGTCCTCGTATTTCTTTTTGCATATTAACATGTATTTTTTATAACGCGATGTGGTAGTCGGCGTCAAGATGAGTTCAACGACCAACACACCATGACCTTGAAGGCGAAGAAATTAGCTTCAGTTCGAAGAATGCAGAAGTAAATAAACGTAATAAAAAGTAAAAAAAGCAATTACATCCTATTTAGTCATTTCTTCTTACTTTCAATAAGAGCGGAAATAATTTAGGTGCTCGAGTTAAAATTAACACCCTGTATGTATATATACACGTCTCTTGGGAGTAGTAAACCGGAAAAAAAGTGTGAAAGGGGAGTATACACTGCGTTCACGTGTATAGCCGTTTAGTGTATCTTGTACCTAGAATTGATTAGTGCTGCTGGATCGAACCGTTTTATGCTGGCCTGTCTATATACCAGCAGCGAGAGAAAAGAGGGGTCTAAAAAATAAATATTTCGTAAAAATTATTACCCATAGCCTACGTTTTCTCCTACTCATTTGTATAATGTATATCAGGGACCAACGAGCAGTAACGTTTCTCTCTTCCTCTCTTTCTGTCTCATTCTTTTTCGTTTGTTTTCTCTTTCTTCTTCTTCTTTAATGAAATTATTATTGTCATCGGGCGTATCCACACCATGTATACATTTACACGTTCGTTTCGCTGGATTTCTAGTTTCGCATCTGCCGCCTCCCTCCATTACAGTGGATCTCGCTGTTAACAGCAAACAGGGAACCTTTTGTTTGACGCAAAGCCCGAGCCGCAAGGTGTATCGTTGATTCTTGTTCGCATGAGATCGTGTTTTATAACCTTTTATTTTCATAACGTTTATCTACACTCTGGGTCCCGTTGTTCTGCCCGCTGCATGATCGAAAAACAAAAAGAAAAGAAAGATTACTAAAATCGGTAATGTACATAAAGCCGACGGAGAAAAATGGTGGTATCGGCCTCGCTAAAAAAAAAAACAAAAACCGCAGGTAAGTGAACAAACGCATTTACGGCCTTACGCTTCCCACGCTTTTTATTTACGCTGCCTCGCCATTTAATCGTGTAGAGTAAATCCTCGATGAGCGATCGAAAACCCTTTGGTACTGACAAGGACAAGTTCCCAGGTGGTAACACTGATTTTTTAATGATGTTAGCACAGTGATAGAGTTTAGAATTCTAAAGCTAATATTAGTTTCAGCCGCGTATGGCTATTGATTTATAAAATATTTAATGTTCAGTGTCGAGGAGCATTCGAACACTCATCGAGGATTCACTGTACATGACATTCGTACCTCGAGTGAAAGGAACCGCCCTAGAACGTAAATCTCGTGGATTACACTCGTGTGTGTATGTGTGTATGTGTGTAAGTTCTCGCGTTTTTTTTCTTTTTCGTCATCGCGAATTTACCAACCGAAGCTTTCTTGGAATTTCGTCCATGAACTATTTGTCCACCAGTTGCGATAATTTCGAGACGACATCATCTTATTCGGTTGCAAACTCGGTCATCAAAAGTGTGTTCAATATACAGGGTGAGTCATTTAACTGTACCACCGAAATTTACTCATAAACTGCTTGTTGTATGAAAAATGTTTGAAACGCAAATTTTTTTTATATCGAACGGGGCATACGACTTGATAATTATTTTCTAGATGTTTCGCTTTTTTTATCGAGATACGAAGGTGACCTTGAGTTTTTGTATTATAATGTATAATATTTGGCCCTACGACTCGAACGAATATTGAATCTGAGTAAAAAAACTACTAAGGTATACGGGGTCAAAAATAATACACATTATGATACAAAAACTGAAGGTCACCTTCGTATCTCCATGAAAAAAGCGAAATATTAAAAAACTACTTATCATGTTGTATGTCCCGCTCGATACCAGTCAACTTTCGTTTGAAACATTCTTTTGTACAAGTAGTTTATAAGTAAATTTTGGTGGTACAGTTAAAGTGACTCACCCTATATATCCTACCGAGTGAGAATTTTCGAAAATTGTTCGTACAGGATATTCGTAATTAACCTCGTTTATCCGAAATCGAACAAAAGTATAAAAAAATTCGTTACGACTCTCAAGAGGAGTAAACACTTCCATGATAATACGAAGATCCTGTACATGAATTCCGTTATCCATTAATAAAGAGTCATCAATAATAGCAGTACAAAACGGGGTATCTTTCTTTCTTTCTCTGTCTCTAAGTAGCGTAATACCGTCCCGATGTTAATGCAATGCTGCCTCGTGCCCCGAATGTTTTAGGAAATCATGGATCTCTGCAACGGGCATTGTGGCTCGATGTGCGACGATTCGGACGAGTACGAGGATTCGAGCCCGTCGAACTCGCCGGTCTCGACGCGACGTATCGTGCCGAGTCCACCGTTACCACCCAGGCGACCGTCCCCATCCCCGACGCCTAACAGTCACTCGACGAGAACGCGTCACTTGACGGTGCCCAAGGAGAACGCGCCCCCCCCCCCTTCGTCCGCCATTAATACGGTGTTTAACTCGAGCGCCGACAATCAATTGAACAACAATCGTGAGTATAAAATATTTTTGTTTGTTTGCGTTTTCACAATTAAAACAGACACAGACTCCTCTCGATTATCGTCCGGCTTGTTCTACACGATTATTGTCTAGGCGTCATCCCCACCACTGGGGTCGCGAAACCTGTCAAATGTATACTTTGTTGCCCCTCCGTTTTTGTTGTCGAAGCTCGGGCAATATACGAGGGCCTGAAGCATTTCTCCCTATACGATTATTGTCCTGGCGTGGACACGAATTCGGGACGATAATCGAGAGGAGTCTGTATTTGGAAGGTGTCACACTTAAAGGACACACCCTATATATTCTAGATTCCCGTCCTTTGCTCATGATAATTATGTCGCACCCCCAGCAAGAAAACTGTCGTTTAGTTTTTAATATAACAGTATAAAAGTGATATTATGTCCATATCTTGTTCCAAGCGAAACGTTGTGAAGTCCATCGCATAGAGGACTTAACGCAACATTCACCATTTCTACATACCGAGACTTGTTTTAAGTCCATTCAATAGTTCGAAGTTAGCGATTGTTTCTCATTAACACTAAATCTACCACGACCAGTTTTCCTGATCTAATTCCTATCTTTTTGAAAGGTTCGGTAGGTTTAGTGTTAAATTTTTATCGAACGGTTACCAGATTTCAACACCTTCGACTTGCTCTCTTCTAAAGTTTGAAAAATGTGACTCCATACAGGTCCAAGATATAGACTAGAATATTCGAATGGACAAGTAACGAGTGTTATTTTCTTTATTCTACCAGTGAACGAGGCAGGATATGATATGTTGCATCGTGCCTCCTCGCCGTCACCAGCTGCACCACCGATACCGCCAGCGCCGTTCCCGGTGAACAGAGGTCACGTGCGTCGCCCCCAAGGCAATCACATAGCGGCGGCGGCAGTGGTGCAACCGCCAACATTACCCGAAAAACCTAGTCGATTGAGCGCCGGAGGCGGTTGCGCGTCTTCAACATCGTCTGGTCAGACGACGTCTGGTAGCAACTCGGTGCCACCTGTCCCGCCACCGTTATCCGTGCCACGACCGCCGAAGACCTCCGGCAAAGAGCACAATAGACACCAACAACAAGATCATCATTACGAGAACACGATCGTGATACCCGGTACAAGACAGCACGTCGTGAGGAACATTAATCTGGAAGCGAATACAGCTCGATTGTCCGCCCTAATGAGAGGTAAGGACGATCCCACCGGTGGTGGTTCCGCTAAGCCAGAATCCTCCGCGACATACGAGAACGTGAACGTCGAGCACATAACCAAGCTGACGGCTCTCGGATTCGCGCAAGACGCCGTGATTAGAGCGCTCTGTATAACTAGGAACAATCTTGAAATGGCATATGATATACTGCACGGATTTGCCACGAAATCGTCTTGACCAGGTATGCGGTAAAAATGCAAACCTAAAGCCTCTAGCAACAACAAAAAATACCAGCAAAAAAACAAAACCAGAACAAAACCCTGTCGTGTAACTACTCATGCGAAACCACAGCTTCTTTCCAGTTCTCATGTCAACCTAAAAAAAAAAACAAAAAAACAAAAAGAAAACGATCAACGACACACATCCATATATCCGTCTATGATACTCTTTCAAATTGAGCGTAGTAGCCTTCCTACTGGTGCTATTTGGATTGGTAAATACGAAGTGTCACGGAAGTCGATCGATAAAAGCCTCTTTATATACAGATTTTTCGTTTTTTAAGTAGACCCCCCGATGAGATGACATTTCATGCGTACCAATCTAGTAATAAGGAAACACGCGTATAAAATGTTAAATAAACTCGATACAGGTAGAGAGGAGATAGAAATATTAGAACCTTCTAAAGCAGAGCTAAGCAAGTGCGCTGCTCCAAGAACAGAATTTCCCCTCTTGGATTACCTCCACTATGATCCTCCGATGGCTCGCTCGAAATACGGCGGGATGACTATTGGTGGGGACTAGAGTTGGGCACAATTTCATTCGAATAATACGCAGGGAAACGGCAGCATCTAAGACCGTCTTGTTGACCTTTCAAAACAGTTAAATGTTAATATGGCTAAATACGTTTTTTCACTCACATTCAATATCACAAAACTAACCACGGTAAGTTTCAACTTTTAAACCATTAATCCGCTTAAGTATAATGGCCAATACTCTTGATGAATCTTTTGATTTGTTTCACTTATATTATTATATTATTATATTTTTTCCATTGTTACTGTATTTTTGTGTTCCATATTTTATTCACTTGTCCTTGTTTATATTCATACGATCTTTGTATCAAAGAGTTTTTTCCGGTAAAATAAATATTATTATTAAGTAATCGTCTTGACATGTGTTCAAGAAAAAATATTATTCTGTTACAAAATTTGAAATTGACATCTTAATCGATTATAAATGACGAAGTACTGTTTTTTAATCTTTTGATTCGTTGTTCCAAATTTGTTATCTAGACAATGAATTTGCCCATCTCTAGTCGGGACAATTCTGCTCTGGGAACAGCAGTAGCTTATAGCTCTGTTCCAAAGGAAACTTGTATTACCTCATAGTCCAGTTCGTTTTTCTCTTCTGTTTCAGGGTCGAACACAGAGGGGTCATAACCTGGCCTTCCTTGTGGCACCAAGAACCGTGTAGAATTAATTATATCTGGAATGTGGAAGAAAAGCGATTTCTACAGCTCGGATATTCCTTGTTCCTCCCCGAGCAATATATGGGGCATCCTGGCTGATCGATGAAAAAAAAAAAGATTCTTCCGGTCCAGCTAGGGGGTTCGGACGCGATGTTCTCCACAAATTTGCCTCGAGAGATCAACTGGCGTGAATTATTTTTGCACGCGTTATAGTGATTCTTTTAAATCTTATTACCACGACTGAACAACCTCCTCCCCTCTTCCTCCCCTCGTGGAAAATGCTCAGAAGTACCATTGGTGTATTTCTTCGCCTCGAACGCACGCGCGTATACGTGTATTCAGAAACGAAAGAAGACTGCTTAACAAAAAAAAACACACACACAAACTACGCGACAAGAGAAGCGGCATGACGCTAATTGTATTTAAGTAAGAAGTGATGAGAAGAAGAAAAAAAAAACGTTGAACTTCACGAGGAAGCTCACAACCCGCCGAGTACAAAGTATTTCGTTTTACTTGATCGATCGAACGGTATCGCTCGATCATCCCTCTAGCCCCTGTAGCTCTCAAGTTTTCGCATAAAGTAGTTATGTATGTATTTCATTCGTATACTTAAAAAAAAAGAAGAAACGGTAATTAGACGTACGTTTATAAAGTTAACGCGTCGCATGCATCCATGTGAAATATAATGTCGCGAGCAAACTCGACTTCCGCTAGGGGAAAACGTGACGGAAGAGAGGAGCCTCCTATCACTTGGTAAATTTATTTCAGGTACTAAAACAAAAGTTAAATCGAATGTTAATTTGGCATAAATTTCAGTAATTCCCGATACCAAGTGGTAGGGCCCTTTCCTGACGCCATTTTTTTTCCCTAACGGAAGCCGAGTTTGTACGTCAGTGTACAGTGGCCAAAATATCTATAATACGTAGGCTGATTTTAATGCAATTACCAACCCCGTGTATGACCGATATATCCTCTATTTCTCGCCAGTTTTTGTCGCCCGAGAAACAGGAATATTCGTAAAATTTTTACATGATATTTAAATGATACCTCTCTCTCTTTCTCTTTCTTTCGTATAAGAATCGCGTTTTTTTTTGCTTCGATTGGAAGCGAAAGATATGTCATTCGAAGTTCCACGTGTGCTTCCTAGAACTCGCACGGGACTTTTCTTTGTTTCTTTGTCGATTTCTTTTGTTACATCGCGCGTAGCGATTAGCGTAATTATCGAATGTGATATTTATGTTAACGTACAATACGGTATTCTCGGTGATACCGCTTTCGTGGAGCGGGACCCCCGACTGATTTTACAACTAGGCACTTTGCGGATGACCGAAGGCCCATTGATGAAACCGCAGCCAGGGCTGTGTGTATCTTACAGAAGTATACAGGGTGTAACAAAAATATTGGAGGACCCGGAAATGGGAGACTTGTGAGGCGATTTGAAACAAATTTTTCCTTAGTAAAAATGTTATCTAAGGCTTTATTAACGAGATATTAACGAAAAACTTCGACCAATCAGAGCGCAAGTGTTCCATTTCCGGGTCGTCCAACATTTTTATTACACCCTGTATTTACTTTACACCTACGGCCCCCGTCATCTCTTGCTCAGTAATATGTAATTTACGTATTAATAAAGGGTAACGTATAGTTGTTAAAGATTAGGAAATATATAAACTTTTTCCGCGAATGTTGCAAGTTAAGCATTCGTTTACGACGAATATATATTTGCACGAATATCATAGCAACTCTAGAATGGCAAATTAGTTTCTTTCAATCTTGAAAGGTAAATGACGTGTAATAAAACCGGAATTTCCGAAGAGAAAGTTCAGAATTCATTGTAACGGTTTCCGTGAGTACTGCAAGTTAAACATTCGTTTACGACGAATATAGATTTGCACAAATATAATAGCAACACTAGAATTTTTATTAAATTCTAGAAAGAATCGTTATGTTTTATGTGTGTTCATGCAGGAAAACAAAACATCGAGGAGGAGAAACTTGTATTTAACAATCTGTCGACACATATATGTAATTTTGTATAATGCTGCGTATTCTGTGAAAAACAGAAACTTATGTATTTGTATAACTTATTTTCCAAATTGTATGCTGTACAAAATTTTGTTAAATATACCAAAAAGGAAGAAACAGTTCCGAGTTGACATCCCACGGCCCTGAACGAAATTCGAGTACCATAAAAGTCTCACATTACGGGTTTGACGGCCAAACCTAGTACCTAAATAGTTGTAAATCAGTCGGGGGTTCCGCTCCACGAAAGCGGTATCACTGGGTATATACACACACACACACACATACCATCCTCGACTGCACCGAATAACCTTATATTGATGGAAAACGGAAGCGAGTCCCCGATAATTATGTATCCTACACACACTTAGACAGCAGAAACGTGTGTAAATAAAAGCAGAGTGTTTAAAGTAATAAACATTTCCTCTGTAGCACAATAAACAAAAGAGAACGAATAATTCAGGAACGATCGAAACAAAACCGGCGCTAATTGATTTTCGAACAAAAGAAACTGTGGTTCACGCATTGGACCGCAATCTTGTATATACGGTTAATCCGATCATTCAGCGAAACGATACGGTTTACTTTTATTATCGGCGGAGAATATGTTTTGTAGAACGATTCAGAAAATAAAAAAGAAAAGGAAGGAAAACTCGTATTCTCAAAGGATTCTCTTGTGAGACATAATACTTTTTAACGTACACGTTCGAACGGCATTTCCTCTAGCAATTTTCTGGCTTTTGTCGCGTATCAATTCGTAACTGTATTATTAACGAGTGTTAACATTCTAATTATACCATGCGTGAAACGTTCTTTCTTGCAAATGATAAATCAGCCCCGACACCGTGAATGGGTTCAGGAACGTATTCTGTAGAGCAGAATTGGGCAGAATTTTGTTTAATAAAATTCTAACTTTATTCAGTACATAATAAAAAGCATAAATTTTATTCAAAACTCTATGTGGGTAATGAATTTGCCCATTTCTGCTGCACAGTTACGTACATCGAAATATAATTGCATCGGGAATCGATTCTACATCGTGATCATACCAAAGGTACCGCCGCCCCCGTCATTGTTCCTGTATGAGAGGAAACGCGTTGTTGAGCACCGTCTGTGAAGCCAGAATAATTCGTGAGCTCTCGCCGACTGTGTGTATATTTTGGAGAACGCAATTGAATCGTTTGTGATCCGGAGGTTCTCAATTCCTTCTCTGCAATATTATTGGCTCGACCATAAAAAGTTTGCCCTTTGTACGACCTCTCAGTTAAGAATGCGCCTCTGTGTGTAATATAAACACTTGAAATGACCGTGTTACACGAAGAAATTGTGGATATTTAAGGAGGATACGATTGATCATTTTTGGATCTATGAAAGAAATAATCATACTCTCGAGAAAAGTGTACGAACGATTTCTTTATTTTCAGTTAATACAAAAATTAATCCAAAGATTCCGATTAAGAATGGTCGCATACGGTATCAGGAACCTATCAGGAACCTCTATTCATTCGTTGTTGTTCGATTTCATGCCTGGTATTATGAGATATACACTCGGTGGAATTTAGCTATCCTATTTTTCTACATTGTATATTTCAGATTAAATTTGTATATTGTAATGTATCGTTTAGTAGATAGGATGGAATCGTTCAAGGACCCGTGCCTACGAGAGTTAGATATCCGGCACTGCTGCTATTCTTTGTCACGCACTAGCCGTCTAAGGAGTAACCGTTTTTTGGTGCAATATTCTAGGATAGAGAGTGTAGATACCATTCTTGATTTAATTGTTCGTTGTAAAAATTGTTTTACATATTTCTCGAAATAAATCGACTGTCGTTTATAAGATTGCAAGTTCGTTTAACCCGATTCGAGAGGACAAGATTTGATTAAAAAAAAATAGAGAAAAGATCAAGATCAGATTCGACGGACAGAAAAAGGATGATGAAGATAAAAAAACCCGTGGACAGACCAAGTCAGAGACTGGACTGAGCCAATGAATTGTAACATATAAAAGAGTATATGTATAAGCAACCATTTCATTTATCTACTTCAGTAAAGATAATACGTTTGAAGTGCTTACATGAACAATAAAAACGAAAAGTCAGTTTTTTATGCCAATCACAGTTTGAGAAGTGAACCCGATCGATCCATGTTTCGAAGTCAAGAGGTGTCCAATTGCGAAGCACTTAAAGTCACGATACCGAAGATAATTCTGTTTGCATCCTTCTATATCTTTCAGCGTCCACTTTACTGACCGAAGGAACTAACTCGCGGGCAGCTTTCAAAAAGTCTGTAAATTCTACAATAATAGATTGGTTCGAATCAACCTTATCTAAAATTAACTGATTCGTATGAACCATTTGATCATGTCTGCTCAATACTCTGCGCGCAGCATTTAACCACGCATTGGAACAGACGGAATACAGATCGGCACCGGTAGTGTGACTCGGTAACTGATCTATTAGCTTCTCTAGTTCTCCGTTTTCGTGAAATTTGAATTTACGCGTCAATGCCTCCAGTACTTTAAGCTGGGAACCGCGATCGGAATGAATCCCTACGTATAATAACTTGTCGAATCTACCAGGTCTTAGAAGCGCCGGATCTATGAGATCCGGCCTGTTTGTGGCACCTATGATAAATATATTGCTAGAACAGTCCAGACCATCCATTTCTGCGAGTAACTGAGACACGACGCGATCCATTACTCCTCCACTGTCGCCGCTCCGTCCACGATTTGGTGCCAACGAATCCAGCTCGTCGAAAAATATTATACACGGCGCCGCGGCTCTTGCTCGTTCGAATACTGTGAAGGGAGAAATGTAGTACTAAATCTGCATGCCTTTTAACTCTTTGAAGTACGGTGGTACGAAAAATATCCCACCCTTTTTTTATACCCAACTTGCATGGTGGGGCGTTATCAATAAAAAATTAAATTACTAAAAATAAAACGTAATTGAAATATAATAGTACTTTGACGCATTTTATACGAAAAGATGTCTGTGCAACTAGGCATTTTTTACATTGTAAAATCCTGTGCTTCAAAGAGTTAAGACGCATAAATCATTCTTCAACCTTAGAACCTCACCTTGCCTGACATTCTTCTCACTTTGACCCACATACATATTTAACACTTCAGGACCTTTAACGGATAAAAAGTGAAGCTGATATTCTGTTGCAACAGCCTTAGCGAGGAGAGTTTTTCCCGTTCCTGGTGGTCCATATAAAAGTAGCCCGGACTGACCAAAACCCAGAGCATTCAACAAAGGCAGCTGAATGCGACGCATAATTTCATGCTTCAGTTCTGCTAAACCCCCTATGTCTTCCCAGTGAACTTTTGGTACGCGTGGCGCGCCCTTACAGTCAGTATATATTGATTGCATATACTCTAGAAATAAAAATAAAAGAATTATGAGGTAAATAATATATGAACAATATCATTCTGTTTACACTGTTACAATTTTACCGTAAGCTTTATCAAAATCCTCTTGTGATACTGTTAATGACTTCGAATCGGAAACGCTATGTTTGTATTCGAATTTTGCAGCATGCAATATAAGCGCATTTAAATCTGCAAATCTAAAGTCTGAACACATTCCTGCGATTTTCGATAGATTCATTTCATGGTTTAGTTTCTTTTTGGTAAGTAACCATGAAATTAAGTCTGTTCTTTCGCTTTGCTTTAAATAATCAACGTGAATTGTTTCAATAAACATTCTGTTCAATTCCGCTGATATCTCAGACTCACTTGTTGTAGCTGTTATAATAATTGGATATTTTACATGTTTATTATACAGTGAATTTATTTCTGTCGAAAAGGTAGATATAATTCTTTCATCTTTTTGGCCTTCAGAATTCTTCCCAAATACTTCTATGTTACTTAAACAAAGTATACACGGTACAGAATGTTTGGCATTGTGCAGTACTATACGTAACTTGGCCTCTGTTTGTGCTGATGTCAAAGCTTGAACTTCCGCAAAGTCTGCGTGAAGAAAGTTCAAACCCATCCTTTGCGATACAGTTTGACTTAATTTACGTTTGTTAGAACCATGGGAACCCTTAATGAGAAATATTGGCTTTATAGGTAACTGAATATCTATAAAAAATTGTAAGCTGTTAAATATTCGAATGTGAAAGGATTATACATTTAAGTATAAATTCTTACCACATTTGAGAAATGGCAAAATGCATTGTTCTAAGTGTTTCAAGGGTTCTAAAAAACATGGAGGATACGGTTCTATCAATTTCTCTTTGGTATCAAGGTGAGACTGTCGGTCAGGTAGATAACTATGTACATCTGATTCTTGAATAAGTGTCGTCTCTCCCCGTAAAATATAACAACAATCTTTAACTGCATAACTTAAATTCTCATTTACTTTAACAGCATTAACTTTAAAATATATCACAGACATGGAAGGATTACTATGTAAATATAATTGATCCGATATGTGTTCTTTCAAATTGATACAGAACAAATCAGATTTTCTCAAAAATCGAGGTTCAGAGAAATAATCTTCTAATAGGGCACTTATTAAATCATTTGTATATTCATACGAGTTTGATATCATTGAAATTTTTGCCTCGACAGCAAAGTTAACACTATTACCCTTTATCGGGACTGAAATTGGAAAAATATTATTAGTATTTACTTGTTAGAAAAATAATATGATAATTATATACAATAGGGTACAACTCACCGATTTTAATGATCTTGATATGTGTTATAAAGGTGGATATACATAAAAGCACTTTTAATAGTATGTTTTGTATTTTTTAGAAATTTTGAAGAAGAAGGTATGTATTATGAAACCAAACAATATAATTCATTTAGTTAAAAATGGTTTGCATATATCTTTGAAACTAAATCTGAGCAGCAGTTATATGTATGTATAAAATTATTCAAGATGTTGATCATTATAACATATATTAACCATTAAAATCATCGAGCCCTATCATCATATTCTGTATAATTACCAAAAATATTTCTTAAAAATATCAATTCTATACTTACACAAAAAACAATTGTCAACATTGCATTGAAGTGCATTTTGTATATTATGTCTAATAATTTCAGATACAAATATTTCATTTATATCACAATCAGTCAGTGGTATGACTAATATTTTGTACTTTTTCACAGACATATTCGAACATATGTAAAACCAAGTTGGGTTGCATACTTTAAAACATTTAACATTAGCCAATAAACAAGAATTGCAATCTACATAACAATATTCTTCATTATAAAATTGTTTTACTAAATCCCTGAAGGCATGATCCGGCAAAACTTTCCATTTAAATGTTGTCTTAATTAATATCTTCAGTTTATAAAAAACATAATATACAAATATGTAAAAGAATATGAAGTTGCAATTATGCTTCATCAACATCCTTGTTAATTCCCGTAAAAAGTTTGTATAAAAATATAAGGAATTCATGTTGTATTTATACTTTTACAAGGAATATTAATATTCTGAAAAGTAAAGATGAAAATTGTATGTATATGTATAATTTGAGGGACAATATAAAAAACAAAATGTCATACGGTGATAGACCATAAGACTGATACAAAATTCAAAAGGCAACCTTAAAGAACATAATTTGTTAATTTAAAAATTGTTAATATACCTTAATTTTTACTTCATCTTTTTTACTTTCATTGAATGAAATGGAGCGTATAAACAACTCCGCCGTACCGCCAGTAAATTCCCGGGTAGTAAGTGAAGTCCGTAAGTGACAGGGGTGACAGATCCCAATTGTTCATCGCTAATGTAGTACCTAGAAGTTTGTCTTGCTGTGTAGAGATGAATCGATACAAATAAATACGAGTACATTACTCGATACTTTTGTTTCGATACCGATTACTTTTTGTATCGATACCTGCGGTTGATATACCAAGTAGGTATCGAACAAATGTACTCGTATCGAATGGAGTGAGTATCGACCACGATTGTATTTTGCATTTGTTGATAACCACAAGAAACTAAATTGTGTAAAATTTTAGTTTCTAATCTTGAACCATTTCCGAGAATTTCCCTTGCGAGAAGACTTACCGTAATGAGCCATCTCGTGGCCGCGGGATTCCGGGAATCGGGTGACGTCACGACGTGCGAGCGAGAGCGGTAGAGCGAGCCGCGGTATCGGTGCTCTCCGTCGGTGTTGACGGGTGCCGAGGAATTTCGGTGGTCTATGGGAGGGAGGTGTGCGAGCGAGAGAGTACGGTAGAGCGTGCCGAGTATCGGTGCTCTCCGTCGATCCAACGCGCTAGTGAGTTGCGTCACCCAGTTTATTGACTTA